ATGAATTATTTCAAGACAATGTAACATTAGCCTGCAAAACATTAGCCTCCGTGACAGTGCAACAGTGTGGTAATGACAATGTAAGATTAGCCTCTGTCTACGTTTGCAGGCTAGCGTAACATGAGAAACAAAGCAATACCAGATATCAGTTATTTATTCTCAAGAGTGATCCAGATCCTATTTCTCCCTTCAAACTCAATACAGTGCCAAACAAACAGGTGACGAGAATAAACTGACGGATACTGTCCACAAATTCCCAAAACTAACATAGATGACAAAATGTAAGGCAGTCAGTATGGAGAGAAAATTATTGTGCAAAAGGATCGGTTCAAATTGCACCTTAACAGGGCAGATCAGTTTAGGGGGCAGAAATACAACAATCACTGCTCCTGCTTGTAAGATCAACATTTATTTTGCAATGTACCCTTTACTTACTGGATTTCTTAAAATTCCTTCTTGAAGACATAGAACAGATTCATTGACAAAACGACATGCTAGTCTCATTTGGATTTCCTCAGGTTCATGACTGTGAAAAGAACAATCTACATTTGAATTGTATTTCTTTTACAGTATCGCTAGGTTATTGTTCTACTCATTTACATATCTACTACCCATCCCATTTGCTCATCTGTAAAGCCTGCATACAAGCCAAGTGGCCCATCAGGCTGGCACTTGTATCTCCAGGTTCTGTTGCATGAAGTGACTAGGAGCATTTATACTCCCCCCTGGATGGGATGGTAGTCCATCGCAGGTTTACCCCAGTATTATAATTCACTGGAACCCATATATACACCTAGGTGGAGAGAGGCACTGGGAGAGTAAAGTGTCTTGCACAAGAACACAACACATTGTCCCCACCTAGAATAATGTTTACTTAATAAATGAACAAAAAATTGAATGAATGTCAGATGAAAGAGACCTGATAGGAAAACAAGAAATGCCATTGACACAACATAATTGCAAGCCATCTGTGCAATTCACTTAAAACCACTCCAAGATTATTGCTCTGGAAACTTCCATGGATGGCACTAGAAATACTGCATCTGTCACATAATTGATTGTTTGAATTGAGAGAAAGCTAACTAACCTTCCCTTCTTGGGAATGGAAAATTCTTTAAGGATCTTCTCTGCTTCACCATTGATCTGAAAAAAGTTGAGAATGATCACATGTACATGGTCGTATGAAAACAAGGATTTGAACAGGCTTTTCTGTCCTACGATGGAGCCCCTAGGGTTCCAGGAAGACGGTTTGACCTAAGCAATCATGGAGGCTTAATGAGTTGCCTAAATACTAGATATAACAGTGGTAACATCATTAACTCTGCAGAGTGGATCATATTGCCATTATCTGATATTTCATTTAGATGTGTACTGACCTTGAACCTGTCAAATGTGTACATGTAGGGTGACAGGAATGGAAGTTACAAGCTATATAATAAGGCAATTTTAAGGGACATTGTTTTGAGATGGGCATGGTACATGTACAAAATCAAAAAGGTTCACTCACCTCACGCTTGCCACCTTTCCCAGTGTACACAAAGAAGCCTTTTCCAGATTTTCTTCCTAAAAGTTGAATGATGTACT